TTCTAAACATGTCCATACCCAATATGGCATGTAGATCATGCCTTCTTCTGCAATGAACTCCAGGACACCACAGTGTGAAGTCCGTTCTGCTGCCGCGTTGTGGACTTCAAATAGCATAGGATATTCAATATGCAGAGATGCTGCATAGTGATAGAATAGATTAGAGAAGTTACCAGAAAATAGAGCATGGAAAGCTTGTGAGAGCAGACGAGATGAATCATCATCATGCGTTTCCAAGAAGAAAGAGATTATCTAACACAACTAAACTTACCTAGACGATCCAGAGCAGAAGGTGGCATAATAACTGAAAAGAAAATAAAGTAATACTTAGTTCAATTTCCAAAATCAACTTAACAGATGATGAATCAATGAACAGAGAGCATACTTTTGTCACCAGTTTCAAGCTGAGGCTGCAAAGGGTAAAAAAAAAAAAGAAGATATTTTAGAAGAAATATCCAGGAATGAAAAACTAGATGCTTTATCTTGAAATGTGATTGTTTCCTCTAACTTTTTTTAGAAGAAATTTCCTAGAAGTATTAACTGCTACTCCCTCCGTTTGAGGTTATAAGACTTTCTAGCATTACCCACATTCATATAGATGTTAATGAATCTAGGCACACATATATGTCTAGATTCATTAACATATATATGAATATGGGCAATGCTAGAAAGTCTTATAATATGAATCGGAGGAAGTAGATTCTACTTAAGCAGTTCAAAGGATGTCAACATATTATGCTAGAGGCAAAAACAACGCCACAAAGCAATAAGGACAGGAAAAGAGGAAATGTTTACATATCAATATAGCATCAGTATGTTATGTTGATACTTTAGATTAGAAAAAGAAAGCTAGAAACAACCTGATTTACCACCCTAACATTATACCAGTGGCATGAGTAAATGGAGCCTATCTGAAGACAGTAGACAAACCTTGTCAATGAAAGACGCAGGGTAGCAGCGATATGTCTGCTCGAAGGTACTTCCACGGTAGCCATAGCCTTCGAAATACTATTTATTACAGATATATTAGAACATCAAACTTTGGGTAGAAACAAAGGATTGCAAGAAAGAGATCCTCCGAATCCACAAGTTAACTTGGTGCGGCAGATAAACTGGGAAGCTGTAGTAAAATCAATTTTCTGCTAGAGAACTTACCATACTAGCTGACAAGAAGGCTACCTCCTTTCAATTCCTAGCATAGCAGAAACAAGAATATTGAAATTAGCATGGTGAAGAAAACTAGGGAGTACAAAACTATCACAGATGGAAGATGAATTACATGCAAGCTGGTGATGGTTTTGTCAATACACAAGAAAAGTTCAGAACTTATGTTAGACACTATCACCATCATCAGCATCATCAAGATTAGCCACAGGCAACACTGCAAGCTTGCGTTGCCGCAATCCCGTTTGCAGCATTGGCAATGCACTTCTCTTATCTGTTGTGCCATGATGCCTTCTAATGACAGTTTTTAAGATAAAAAAAACTCACACACACTGTGCAGCCACAAAAAAGGTATCTGAACATATATAGTTCTAACAAGCAAATTAGCTTGAAATAGTAGTACATGCCAATTCAGTAGAGGGATGAGTAACCCAACCCCAACCAGGGCAAAACGCAAAACGAAAATCCGGCACTTGACATTTGCCACTTATAGCAGCACATCTCGCACGAGACAGCAGCCGATTTCCCCCTCACCAAAAAAACGCATAAAAATCCCTCCCTTTTTTTCTCCTCCCCCCTAATTCAACGACGAGCCGTGCTCCATCCACCCTACCCTACCACACCACACCATCTCTCACTCCGTACGCCGCCGCGATTCCCGACCCACCCAGGCTCCGGCGACGGCTCGAGCGCGCGCGGGGGATCGATCGATCGATCGATCGCCGGTGAGAAATCAGGGAGGAGCGAAGAAGGCGAGACTTACCGTTGGACGGACCGGCGGGCGGGCGGGGGGATCTCCCGGCAGCCGAGGCGCGGCGGGTGGAGTCCTCCGGCGAGCTCGATCCCCCCGGGGGAAGCTCTCTCTCTCTAGAAGGCTCGCTTGGTGAGGGGAGGGGAGGAGAGGAGAGAGAGAGTAGCTTGGATCGGAAGAAAGGAAAGCCAAGAGGAGGAGGAGGAGAAGATGAAAAGAAAGGGAGGAATCAAGGCATCAAGTAAAGGGAGAAGCAGAACCTCTCCTCTGTTGGGCCGGCCTGGCATCAGATTTTCCCCTCCTCAAAATAAAAATATATTCTCTTCGTCTCGAAATATACGATATTCTCTCCGTTTCATATTATTACTCATTTGAATTTTTATTCTTATCAAAAAGTTTTAAGTTTGAACAAACTTGTAGACAAATATTGTAGCATTTTCAACACAAAACAAATATATTATCAAACTATATGCAATGTTAGATTTTATAAAACTAATTTCATATTTTAGATGATGTTGATTTTTTTTCTATAATTTTGGTCAAACTTAACAAAGTTTGACTAGAAAAAAAATAAATGACTTATAATATGAAACTGAAAGTTTGGCTAGAAAAAAACTAAATGACTTATAATATAAAACGGAAGGAGTATTACATAACTTCTTTACTTGTTTTTTTTTCTCAAATCTCGGCTAGTTTTTGCATTTTCGAACAGAGGGTACGTTTGACAAATGGATTATAAGATGTGGGATCAGAAAAAAAAAAAGAAAGTGGATGAATGGCTAGGATTGAATGAGGTGTGAAGAATAGATGGCTATGATTTTAGATGAGAATATCAGGAGATACTATTTTCTTATCCCATTTGCCAAACAAACCTAAACGGAGTATCGACTTTGGATGAGAATATTAGGAGTCTAGAGAAATTACCGGTGGTAAAATTGATATGAGTTTGATTTTTTTTTAAGTCCCATCCTCTAGTTTGACTGAAGTATTGGTAATTATTGAGAGTTCTATGTAATAGATTTCAAGTAAGAACTGAGATTTGTAAGATGTATCGAGGGCATTCCCTCTCACCTCTCACCCATTATCTAGATATTAAAAAGTGTTCCTTCCGAGTTGATAATACTTATCGGTTTAGATAAGAAGTTGGTCTTCAAAAATTATTTTGACCATTTTTTATTACAACATATAAAAAATAATAAATATATGATTTTATTGAATTAATTTTAATACTAGTTTTTATAATTTTAAGATAAATATTTTAGATGTTATTTTTTTAAAATTACACAGTACAACGCAGACACTCACAACGCACGCACATTCACCTCTATGAACGCACGTACGTAAACCCTACCCCTATGAGCATCTTCGAAAACTGAGCCGGCAAATCCATTATAGATAAAGTTTTTAAAATTTAACAATAGCATTGTTCACTACGATAAGTATGAAGGGAGTAGGAGGCTCTCTCCTTAATTCTCAAAAGAGTAAATTGCATGCATGGACTTGTAAAATGCTCGTTTTGATGCACAAACTTGTTTGGTGTGTGTGAAGAACATCAAAATCACATGGCAAGATTAATTTTGTTGATTTAAACTCACTGTGAACATGTGTCTAATAAGGATAAACATATAATAAGGTGTAATGATTGCATACAAAAACCAAGTAATAGTGTAAGGGAAAGAAACAAAGAAAGATAAAGTGGAAACTAAGTTTACAAATATAACCTACATACTGTAAGCACGCACATCATCTACTAATTTATAATTTATAATGTTCACCATATAAAAATGGGTCTTACCGTGCCATTTTAGCCTTAGTTTACTGTATCAGACAAGTTCATAAACCAAAATGAGTATTTTACAAGTTGATACACTAAATTTCACCTACTTGACATGTTCATGTACCGCTAATGCAATTTATTCTTCTCTAAAACTAAGCAAGAAAATAATAACTTTATCCCTTTAAACTCGCATGCCCTCAACTCCCCCAAGCAAATGCACCATAGAACAAATAGCTACTACTCCCATCCTAAAATGTACTCCTGTAGCTAATTCTCAAGTTCAAAATTGCAGTGCAATTCATTTAATTTTTGTTTAATCTTACCTCAACCAAACTTTCACCCCTTATTAATGCCCTTATGATTGCCAAGAAGACAAGTGGGCTATCTTCCTAAAATTATTCCTAATATTATATATATAAATTTAATTGGAATTAAATGAGCATGCCAGTAGGGCATGTGCACGAATTTAGAGTATACAAACAAAAGGGATTCTGTAGATATTACTCCTAACTCCTATTAATATGCATACTAATTATTGAGACTATCCATTCCTCAGTACGCCATTCAAACTTAAAGTTAGTTTTTCCCAGCATATATAAATTGCGCAAATTTGAACAGCTACAGTAACATTTCCCCTCTTCTTTTCTGTCCCACAATGCATGCGCCACTTGATTTCTAACAAGCATGGTGCGTTATCTGCCTCGTTGGGGTGAGACTTGTTCTATTGGAATTTGCCCCCTTCCCTTTCCCATCCACACCTCCTCTCCTCCTCCAAACTGCGGCGAGGTTCCCCTACACGACCATTATTTTCTTGTCTATGGCGGTCTCGTCGCCAAGTTACCACCATCACCCTCCACCTTCTAACCATTTTAGATTTGACGGCCTCAACTCTAACCTCGCTCACCGTCTTTATTTAACCCTACGGTTCTGACGCGCCTGCCATGCCTGTCAATGTCATCCACTAAAGATATACTGTCTCCCTGGCTATGAGTCTAAGGGTGTGTTTAGGTCACGCTAAAATCAGAAGCTTGGTTGAAATTGAAACGCTGTGATGGAAAAGTTGAAAGTTTGTGTGTGTAGAAAAGTTTTAATGTGAAGGAAAAGTTGAAAGTTTAAAAAAATAGTTTGAAACTAAACTCGGTCTAATTTAGAAGAAACCACCCTCTTCCTCGTTTCTCAACTCCTAAACTATTTTAACCCTCGCCTAAAAACTAACCTGTAATATAGTGTCAGCGTCGTCGCTACCACCACACATAATCGGAGCACGAATCTTAGTATGGATCCAACTAAGAACAAATTCGACTCAAATTTTTTAGCATTAGATGTGACTTAAATATAATAATCCCCTCCATTATTTTGCTTACACAAGATATAATCAGTATATGTTACCGTACAGTTCCTACTAACGCTACTACTACTGCTCAGTTTTACGAGTACCATACTACAAGGTTATCACTGACAAAACAGAGTTAAGCAACACACTGCTCACTGTCACTACTACATACAAGTGGCCTGGTCACTGCCGGCCGCCGGCGAGCGGCGGCGGCGGCGGCCGCTGCAGCGCGAGCTCCGCCGTGTCCTTCCACAGCCGCGCCTCCATCTCCTTCTCCATCAGCCTCCGCTCCGCCCGCCGCAGCGCCGACTCCAGCTCCGCCACCCGCTCCCTGTCCCTCTCGTGCTGCACCTCGCGCAGCCTCCTCTCCAGCTCCACGCCGGACACCCCGCCGCCGCCGCTGCCGCCGTCTTCCTCGTCGCCGCCGGCGACGAAGCCGAACCCTCCCTCCAGCTCGATGAACTCGCCGTCGTCCGACCACTCCTCTTCCTGCAGCGGCTTCTTGATCTCGACCTCGCCGTTGGCCGCCGGCGAGGAAGCCGCACGGCCGGCGCTAGAGGTGTTCGACGAATATCCCGAAGCGAGACGAGTCGAGATCGACGACGACGACGACGACGTGGTGCGAAGCTCGCGGCGCGCGGCGGCGGCGATGTTGCGCTTGCAGATGGCAGCTTCGTCTCTCATCTCGCTGAGGAGCGCCTCCATCTGCGCGCGCACCTCGGCCATCTTGTTGAGCTCGGCGGACGTTCTTGCCAGGAGGAACAGCAGGCTGAGCCCCAACCCGGCGGCCGCCTCCGTCGTCGTCGCCGTCGCCGCCGACGACGACGCGCCGCTGCCGCTGCCGCTCCCCGCCGCCACCTCGCGTCCTGCAATGGCCGCCGTACGTCGCATCAATACCCCGTCAAAACTCCAAGAACACAACCACGACACGAGCGTCCACACCAACCTGAAGCCTCATCCGCCGACGACGACGCGGCCTCGCTCTTCTCGGCGGCGAGCTCCTCCTTCCGGCCGCCGTCGCGACGTCCTCCCCTCCCGCCGCGGAAACTCACGAACCGTAAGCGCGCGCACGTGAAGCCCGGGATCCGCAGCCGCGGCGTCCCCGGCGAAGGAGGCGAGGCCACCTGCGCCGCCGCCGCCGCCACAACCTCCTCCTCCTCATCCTCCTGACGACGACGACGACGACGCCGCCGCCGCAGCAGCTCGTGGTCGGCGCCGCCTGCACCGTCGCTGTCGTCGTGGAGGAGTAGGAAATCCGAGATCCTGACGAGCTTCTTCTCGCGCGCGCCAATGGCGGGCGACGACGCCATTGCGCGCAAGACAGAGAGAGCGCGCGCGCGGTGGAGAGGTGAAGAAGAAGGAGGAGGAGGAAGAAGGTGGATTCTAAACACTCAGTGGATGTCCACTCATTAAGTACATATCATCATGAAAACATTTTAAAAAATTTATAAGATAGATTGATATAATATATCACTACATAAACATACAACTTAAAATTTAACTTTTATAAGTTGTAACAAAATAACAAATTTAACTGGAATATACGTATACTAATCAGAGTTTGATTTATTATTTTTGTTACAACTTATAGAAATTGAATTTAAACTTGTATGCTTGTAGGATGATATATTACATATGTATCTATCTTGTTAAATTTTTTGAATTTTTTTCATACACATTTAGTTATTATGCAAGGTGATTAAAAGTGTTTCCCGAAGAAGAAGAAGGCGGTGGGCGTTGGTGGTGGGACGATCCACGTCGACGACGCGCGCGGCTGTTGGTGGCGATGGATGATGTCACTCCAACTGACGACCAACTGTGGGCTGATGTGGCAACTGCCCCTGAAAACAACGTAAGTACATGGGTAGATAGATGACAACTGTCAGGTCCATGGATGGATGATGGATGAAACTAGATTAGGCTTGAGTTCTATGGCAAATGGAAGATAGAAAAGATAGCAAATGGATATGGGTAAAGCTAATTATGAAATGGTACCAGTCTAAAAAGAATTATGAAATGGTTATGGGAAAAATTGGGTATGAATATAGGTTACGTGTATACCCTTCCTAGCGTCAGGCCTAATCCATAATGACGGCCTCATATTTTCACTTATGCATGTTTGTACTTATCAGCTAAAATTTAAATTTTCAATCTTAAATTTAAAGTTGATCTTAAGGTTTTTTTCATTGAAGTTTATTTTTTAGCCATTGCTTTTAGATAGCTAAGAACACGTATATAAAAATTTTATTAACATTTTTTTTTGCAAATATGCCGTTTCGCTTATGCTTAAAATTAGCCAAACGATGGCTTCCTGAGATGGTTTTATTTTTTTCCAAAAAATTACTAGTTTCAAATTTTCTAGGCCACAATTAATTAGATGAAGCTCTCATATCTATTCCCTTCATAAAAAAAAACTAGGCCCAGTTAAGGATGAGATATTATCTAGTCCAACCAATCTGAGTAAACAACTATTCAGATTTATGGGACTAGGTGATATCTCAACTAGATTGGGTTTTTTTTTTTAAATGGAGGGAGTATACCGAACTATGTCCTCTTGTACTACCTCCGTCCCAAAATAAGTGCAGCCATGAGTTTCCGCGCTCAATTTTGATCGTCCGTTTTATTTGAAATTTTTTTATAATTAGCATTTTTGTTGTTATAAGATGATAAAACATGAATAATACTTTACTCGTGACTTATGTTTTTAATTTTTTTCAAAAAAATTTCAAATAAGACGAACGGTAAAAGTTAGACGCGGAAAATCATGGCTGCACTTATTTTGGGGCGGAGGAAGTACTATCTACGGAGAGATGGACATGGAGCCCTGTCATCTGATCCCATCCCAAGTGACACATCATCAAATCAGTGGCTACTCACCAACAACTATTCCATTCCCCAATGATTGATCACCGATGCAGTAGGGAAGAAAGCCACCACTACAACTCCACGGAGAAACAACCCATCTGCTCGCAAGCATGGCCAATTGGATCGCCCCATCATCCATCGCCGACGTTCGTCGCAAATCGCAAAGTGCCATATGATGCTCCCAAAGTCCCAATTGGGGGCCATGGCTTCTCCGCCCCCTGCCAGCGACGACACGACGACAAGCAGCTGCAGACCACACCACCACATCTCGGCAACACATCTCCTCGATCAGCGACGTGACCATCGCGGTCATGTGTTGTATGTACTCCTGCTACGCTCATAGTCTTCTAACCATGCAAATTATGAGAAATACCTGGGGGTCTTTCGACTAACTCCACAAGACGGTGGGCTAGACGACCTGCGTTTGAACCTCACATATTCTAATTATTTAATATTAGGTCCTTCCCTAATATTCGTATTTTTACCATGCAAATTATCAGTGGCGGATCTATGAGGACGGTAGCTAGGGACCGAAGCCCCGTCATGATCAGCGTTGATCGTGGAAGCCCTCATTATTATTTTTACTTAGTTATACATGAGATATGTTGGTCTAGTTTGTTTAGCCATCATATATATATGGCATCACTAATTTTTTTTTCATAGATCGTACATCTTCTTTGGAAGATCAATAATCCATGCTACAATGAACTTGTGAATGTCATGCGAGGCTATGAATTAATTAATGAATTAGGCCGAGAGCTTGATAGGAATATAAGATGCCCACGTGTTGGCTCGGCTAAAGAGGACTTTTCTCCATCAGATACTAATTTTTAGAATAAGGTGGTGTCGAATTATGGTATAATAGGCTATTATGGTAATAGGTGGTGTTGATTTTTCTTATTGTCTTTGCAGGCGAGAACTTCTTTAGCTTATGCCAGCTAAAGAATTTAAGAATTTCGAAAGATTGGGTCAAGAGCCACTGGGTAGATTTAGAAAGGAAAAAATATGAATTACCCCATAAACTATCGCAGTCGACCGAATTACCCCCTGAACCCTAAACCCAGATATTGCTCACCCTGAACTTTTAATACCGGACGAATTACCCCCCTCGACCCAATCCAGAGCGGTTTTGTCCTACGTGGCTTACACGTGGCAATCCAGTCAGCATTTTATTTATTAAAAAAGTGGGACCCACCTGTCATACTCTCCTTCCTCTCTCTTCTCTCTCTCACTCTTCCTCTCTCTCGCTCGGGTCGACCGGCGGCAGGCGTTCGGCACGCACGACGGGTGATGGGCAGCGCGGCGGGACGCGGAGGCCCCCGCCATGCCCACCGCTGGTCACTGCGTCGCTGCTCCCGACGACTAGCGCTACAGAGAGAGATAGGAAGAAGAGGGTAAGAAAAGAAAGAGAGATGAGAAAGTATGGCACGTGGATCCCACCATTTTTTTTAATAAAAAATACTGACTGGATTGCCACGCGTATGTTACGTAGGACAAAACCACTCTGAATTGGGTCAGGGGGGAGGTAATTCGGTCGGTATTGAAAGTTTAGGGTGAGCAATGTCTGATTTTTGGGTTTAGGGGGTAATTCGGTCGACTGCGATAGTTTAGGGTAGTAATTCGTACTTTTTCCATATAGAAATGAAACCAGATGTGTTATCGAAACTAGTGAAATTAACATAGTTAGATTTGTTCGGGCTTTAAAAATTTTCAACTAACGCCGCTGAATCAAGAAATGCCGTGGCGTGGTCGTTGTGAGATGATAGTGAGAGAGAGACAGAGAGTGTGTGGTGGTATTGACGTGCATAGATTTGGATGGCCGGAGAGTTTGGGATTGGTCGTTGACGACTCGCCCGCCGGGGGGGGGGGGAGCAGCCGAAGCAGAATACTCGGTAGGATGTACTCCCTTCGTCTCGAAAAATAAATCTAGAATTAGATATAATATATTTGAGTATAATGAATTTGGACAGAAGTATGTTCATATTCGTAGTAATAGGATGTGTCACATCCAATATCAGATTGGTTTTTTATAGGACGGAGGGAGTAGGGACTAGGGATTACTTGGGATATATATATATATAGTGGGTGGGTCCGTGGGGGAGTGTGTTTGTCGTGCTGGATTGGTGGGGTGCAGGAGAATTGAATGGCAGCAGGAGAAAATGCAACATTGCTCCCGGAAACTGACTGCTCAACCGTCTCGTGTGCAGTAATGTGTTTCTTCTACACACGAGAATACCATTTATTTTTTTTAAAAAAAAAGATTTACTTGAAGAAGTTAAGTATAGTATTTTGTTGGCTGTCAACATCAAGGTGGTCGTGCCGGAGTGGTTATCGGGCATGACTAGAAATCATGTGGGCTCTGCCCGCGCAGGTTCGAATCCTGCCGACCACGATTGTTTCTTTTATTTTCCTTTTTTCTTTGGGACGCCTTGCATTGCGCTGCGCATGTGGGATAACCTTTTTTTTTTTACTACTGTACATTTGTCGACAAATTTTCTCCTAAAAAATTGACAGATATAATTATAGTACAACCGTAGTGTAATTACACTGTAACTTGCATGTAACTACAGTGTAACTTATATGTAAGTTTCACATAATTTTGAATCGTTAGATCTATTACAATATTTGTTTTGGTGAGGAAGAAAACAAATCATAGCACACACATATAGTTACGACCTCCATTTTACCGAAATAACATGTGACGGAGAGATTTTTGAAAGTTACATACAAGTTACACTATAGTTACAGTGTAATTACATGCAAGTTACAGTGTAATTACATTACGATTGTACTATAATTACATCTGTCAAATTTTTGGGGGAAAATTTATCGACAAATATATAGCAAAATCGTTTTTTTTTTGCATGCTTCATTGGGCTGTATATTTGGGCCTCAATTTCATGGGTATTGGGCTGGGCATGTAGGACAACTCCAGGATGGGAAGGAACTGGGGCCCACCCAAACGAGGGCTCCCGTGTTTTAAGGCATGGAATAAGTCTATAATTTGTCCTTCAACTCTTGCTCCTGATTAAATCGTCTCCCTCAACCGCAATACTGGGTATAACACATCGATTCTCTTAACCGCAATACCAGATATAACACCTCCCTAACATTTGAAAACCAGAAGGAATCGAGTCCCTCAGCTTTCATAACGCTCATGGCCCACGCATGTCAGTAGAAAAAAAAGAATAAAAAAAATAACAGCCCACCTGTCAGCCATCTCTTTCTTTTCTCTTTATCTTTTCTCTCCCCTCTCTGGTTCTTGGTGACTCCGGGCGAGACGGCCGTCAGCTCTTGTCCGGCGGGGTGCGAGGGCCGGGTGGAGGAGTATATCGCTGGTCTCAATATCCGCATGCACGTCGTGCTCGTGGCGCAGGGTGCGCGTAATAATCCATATGGCGATCAACGCTCGACTGGACGCCGGAGATGACGAGGATGACAATCGGAAAAAGCCGGCGGTGCTCATCGCCGGCTGCGCCAAAGGCGACATCAGCTACGAGTACTGCAAGGCCTTCTCCTCCCTCGGCTGCGGCGTCGTCGCCACCGACATCCCCGACCGCATGCCCTGCTAGCTCTTTGTTGAGAATACTACTATCAGAATGCAGCATGAAACCAACACACACATGAAAAGGATTCATGAACCAGCAACACAATGCAATTGTGCAAGCAAGACAACGTTATACGTCGCCGTGGTGAATGTGGGCAGCGTGGAGGGCACGGTCGCGAAGCCGTGGGCTGGACCCTACTGTGCGCCGAAGGCGGCAGTACACTCGGCTCGGCGAGAGCTGCTGCGTATGGGTGAAAATATTACGAAAACTTTCCGGGAATCTGTCGGTCTGAAATTTTTCGGAGTTTTTTTGGAAATGGAAATGAATTCAGAAATATTTTCTCAGAAACGGAATCGAAAATGATAAGGGTAGTTTCCGTCGGAACTAGGAATCGGTCGGAAACTTTCCGGAAATTTTCTCGGAATTTCCAGATATTTTGTGACTGAACTACCCTGTATTCCTTTTTTATGACACTAATGAATCGATTTTCTAGATTCGCCACTGGCTGCAGCCTGCTTCGCCTTGCGTTGCTGGGCTTTCGCCACCTGGTGCTTCAGTAGTTCAGTCCGTTGTTTCACCTAGCTTCACGTCGTCCGACTTTCGTCCTATGTCGCTTCGCTAAGCTCACTTATTAAGGGTGTGTTTGGTTGGGCTTTTCAACCTGCTTTTGCTTTTGCAAAAGCCAAAAGCTAACCAAAGGGCCCAAAAGCCACAAGTGCTTTTGCTCCAAAGCTGCTTTTAGTGTAGTACAAATCCAAAAGCAGCCCCTACCCCTGCTTTCACTGGCTTTTGTGGGAAAAAATTACCCACATATGCCATTACGGAAGAAAACGATTCGCTCTTTCTTTCTTTCCCGTTCCCCTTTCACGAGGCCAAGCGCTGGCCATGGGTTCGACGCGGCGCTAGGGTTTGCCGCCGCCAGCGCGCGCCGCCGTGCTCCCACCGCCGGGTGCTCCCGCCTGTGGTCCCGCCGTCGCGCGCCGCATCTCCCGGTGCCGGCTTGCTCCATCGCCCGTCTCCCCGTCGCCCGCCCCCACGCCACCCGACGTCGCCCCAGGTCGCCCGACGGCCGACGGCCGTCTCCTCGTTGCCTGCCCGACGCCGGCCGACGCCGCCCCATGCCGGCCGATGATCCCCGACGCCGGCCGACGCTGCCCCAGGCTGCCCAAAGCCACCCCTGCCCGACGCCGCCCCACGCCGCCCGACGCTACTACGACTCCTTCGCCACTGCTCCGGCCGGCATGAAAGGTGAGGCCGAATGCTCCTGCTCTTGTGTTGATGCATGTGTTGCCCCTAGAATGTTACAGCAAATTGATTTTTGGCGTGCAAATTGATTGAACAAAAATTTATTTGGTTCAAGAATGGGTGACAAGGCAGATTGGGGTGATGGTTTTGTAAGGCATTTGTTTGATGTTTGCAAAGAAGAGATAGAAGCTGGGAATAGACCCATGGGAATTTTCACCACTACGGGTTGGAAAAATGTTGTTTCCAAGTTTGCAGAAAAATCGGGTGACGAGCGAACCAAAAAACAATTGAAGAACAAGTTAGATGTGTTGAAAAAGGAATATACAATGTTTATGGAGTTCAAGAATTGTGCCACTGGTCTTGGATGGGATGAGGCAAAACAAACTATTGTCTTTTCGCCGGAATGGTGGGAAGAACACCTTGATGTAAGTACTATTCTTTCACCCTGTGATATTTTTTTTCTATTCTTTGTTGTAGTGTGCCTTGCTAACTTTATTTATTTAATTTCAGAGATGCAACAATCGTGAGAAAGGAATCAAATGCGATCATGTGAAGTTTCGCAAACAAGGACCAAAATTCCTAGATGATTTGCATATCATTTTTGGCAAGTCACATGTTAGTGGGGCTTCAGCATCATGTCCTGGAAATGTATCCTCCGATGAGGCAAGTGATGATGATGTGGCTGAGGTACCAAAACCTGCAGAGACAGTGAACCCCGAAAAAAATAAACGCAAGGGGTCGTCCACTATTGTTCGAGATAAGGATGAGAAGAGCCCATTCGCTCGTATGTACAAGAACACTTGTTTGAAGATAGAAACGGCGGCAGAAAAGATTTGTACAAGTGTTGAAGCATCGTCAGCTTCTCCATGCAATGTAGTCCCTACCATTAAAGAGGCTATGAAGATGATGAAAGATTGTGGGGTAGAAGAAAAAACTGCTCTAATGCACACAGCCACAACTTTGATTATGAAGCCTGAATTTAGGGAGGTCTTTAGCTACCTAGAAACAAATGAAGGAAGACTCGATTTGATCGAGAGGGAGCATGAAAAGGAGATGATGAAGCGTTAGTGATTCCCTACATTAAAATTTTATTTTTATCGATTGTTGCCTTGTTTATGTGATATTTGCTTCCCTATGTGAGAACACTTTGAGTTATTTATTTCTATGTTGTAAACCAATATTTGCTTGGACATGTAAAACCGTTATTTCCATGTTGTGAGCTAATATTTACTTCCCTATGTGATGTTATGTTCTGTACTTGTTGTTGTACTTGTTTGCCGTTAATTGTTACTATATCTTCTGTAGATGGATGGAAAATTAGTAGATGTAGCCAAAGAAGGGCAAAAGGGATCATTGATGCTAGCTGACCTTGCCCAACATGCTTCTATTAAGGGAGAAATGGCCAATTTGTACACTGAGCGGTATTTGCAAAAAGGTGCATACAGACAAACGCCAGAAACTGGAATTCAATGGGTGATGAGGTTGATGGATCGTCCAAGGTATTTTTATAAGATGTTTCGGATGAGCCCTGAGATTTTTCATGCACTTCATGACTTGCTAGTCTCTACCTACGGATTGAGCTCGAGCAACAATGTTTCATCCATTGAGTCATTGACGATGTTTTTGTGGATCGTCGGAGGGCCACAATCATTTTCACAAGTTGAAAGTCGTTTCACACGGTCACTTTGGATGGTTCACACCAAGTTTCATGAAGTGTTGAAGTGTTTGCGCAAGTTAGCTAAAGACAATATTACTCCTAGAGATCCTACTTTTTCTACGGAGCATGGAAGGTTGAGAGAGGATCGATTTTGGCCATACTTTAAAGATGCGATTGGAGCAATAGATGGTTCACATATTTCAGTGGTAGTGCCATTGGATGAAACAATTAGCCACACATGTCGTCATGGATATACATCTCAGAATGTGCTAGCTATTTGTGACTTTGACATGAGGTTTATCTTTGCGGTTGCTGGTTGGCCAGGTTCTGCACATGACTCGCGCATCCTCAGTCATGCATTGGCTAATTTTCCTTCATTTCCCATGCCTCCTACAGGTATAAATGGTTCCTTCATTAATTTTAATATTTGTACACTAGTATTATTATTTGCATTACTAACTTAGTTTTATAGGAAAATATTATCTCGTCGACTCAGGTTATCCAAACCGAATAGGGTATCCTGCACCTTTCAAAGGAACCACATACCATATACCAGAATTTCGGCATCGTTCGGGACCTCCTCAAGGAAAGTATGAGGTGTTCAATTTCTTGCATTCCTCCCTTCGAAATGTTATTGAAAGGTCTTTTGGAGTCTTGAAGCAAAAGTGGCGTATTTTGAAGGGCATCCCAAGTTTCTCACCTACTACTCAGAAGCATATCATCATGGCTTGTCTTGCTATGCATAACTTCGTCCGTGATAGCAATTTACGTGATAAGGAGTTTGAGAGATGTGATGCTCATGAGGACTACTTAATAGAAGATACAAGTGACACGTCAGACGATGAGAGTGAAGATGCAGAGAATGATGATACCATGAATACTATTCGTACTAGGATAGCTGATGCTTTGATTAGTGCAAGAGGAGGATAGTTATTTTTAGATATGGCATCATTGTATGAACCATTTATCTTTTGCTCTGTTTATGTGGACCATATCACTTTGATGGATAAAAAACTAATATATGTTGATGAAAAACTTTGATTGATGAAAAAATTATACATTTTTTCTTTAAAAATTGGGCATTCAAATACAAAATATTGAACATATTAGGTTTGTATGAGTAATTTGCATATAAACAGTCCCACATGCCATTAGGGGTATTACAGGTATTTCTTCTACAACCTACAGTTTCACAGCTGCTCTAACCAAACGGGCTTCTGCTTTTTTCACAGCTGATTTTCAACAGCTGCTTTTCCACAGGCCACAGCTCACAGCAGCTTTTCTAAAAACCACAGCTCAACCAAACACCCCCTAAGTTATTATTTCGCTTAGCTTCTCGTCGTCTGGCCTTGGTCTTGCGCTGCTTCACGATCGAGGCCCATTTGTTACTTCGACAGGACAATGAAAAGTTCCCAAGTGTGCCTGCAACACCCACGGACCCTTCTGAATGTCAAAAGTTAAGTTTAATTTGATTCTTGTCTGATTAATAAGTACAATAGTTGCTGTCTTAAAATACTACTATGATGTGTTCACGTGCCTACAGGATTACTACACTCGACGAAGATTCATGGCTATCTGTGAGTTAGGAACGACCCGGCCGTCGCGGCCGATAGGCAAGTAACAAGAATATTGCCTGTTGTCTATTTATTCATTTATTTTCTTTCGATCACTTAGGCTTATTTAGTTTCCAATTTTTTTCCTAAAAACGTCACATTTAATCTTTAGACACATGTGTGGATCATTAAATATAAATATAAACAAAAACTAATTACACAATTTGCATGAAAATCGCGAGACAAATCTTTAGAACCTAATTAGTCCACATGATTAGCCATAAGTGCTATAATAACCCACATGTGCTAACAACGGCTTAATTAGGCTTAAAAGATTTGTCTCACTGTGAGTTATGAAATTAGTTTTTTTATTCGTGTCTAAAACCCCTTCCGACATCTGGTAAACATCCAATGTGACACACGAAAATTTTCTTTTTCAAACTAATTATTTAGTTCCAAACTTTTTTTCAAACTTTCAACTTTTCCATTATATCAAAACTTTTCTACACACAAACTTTTAACTTTTCTATCACATCGTTTCAATTTCAAGCAAACTTTCAATTTTAACGTGATCTAAACACACCCTTAATCAAACAAAGGTAGAGACGTCGGAGAGTAGCTAGGCTAGTAGAACGAACCAAAGTTGCCGCCTGCCGTCGTGCGCTTGACTAGACGATGTAGGAGTACGCAGCTAGTGCCGTGCACGACCACGGAACCAGCTGCTCTCTGCTCTAAGTCTCACAAGATAAGCTAATTATTATCTAAAGCTAATTTTAAGTTTAAGCTTTTGATTTTGAGATTCATTTATGATGTTTTCTAGCTTGTTACTGAGAAGATTAATTTGACTTGTGTTATACTCCTTCCGTCTAAAAAAACGTTAGATTTAACATAATATAGTATGAACAAGCTCATATCCTAATTTGTTGTACTAAATTGTGTTAAATACAATTTTAAATTGATTTTTTAGGGCGGTGGAAGTATTACCCAACACTCCTTTCATTGTTTTTAAAATGACAAGACAAAAAAATTGTCAAAGGCTAGGTAATTTAAATATTAAAACATAAACCATAATTACGAAGTTGATTTCTTATCTTATTTTTAGCATTTGCCTTTAAAAAACATACATAACGAAGTGAACGTATAGCTTAACTGGTTACGAATCTTATCATAAATTTAACACGGTGCTCGTATTTATGACTAATTAATTATCTATATGGGTTCAAATCGTAGATTTAACACGATGCTCGTATTTACGGCTAATTATTGTTTTAGTGGCAACATACGTACCCAATCGGTAGTGAGGTACCCATGGCGACTTTGTCAATTTCATGATTTACCGCTCAGTCTCGAAGGTGCTAAGAATTAGGGTATACATGTATGTATTTATAGGGTGAGTGTATGTGTTGTGAGCATTTACATTATCCTTGGTTTTTTAAAGAGAACACATGCATTTCATCTCGAAATGAAATATTTGTTAGGTGAGTACAGGTATTATAAAAGTAAGTGGAAATGATTGAAGAAATAGATAATCCAAGAAATGATTGGTTAATAGGAGTAGGTAGATGGAGATTAACAAGTTTGCTATTATGTTTAATTTTGCATGCCTTATCAACTGTGGAGCAAGATCAAGATCAAGATAAAAAATCTTTATGTGTTACTTGCTTAAAGAGGTGGTGTTAACAAGGATAATTTAGCAAGACGGAATTGGAATGGTAGTCTAAAATGTTGTTTCTGTATGAAAAATGAGACTATTCAACATTTATTTATGGAGTGTCATTATGCAAAGTTTATTTGGATAGCAGTCCAGTTCTCTTTTGGATTACACCTTCCTAGTAGCATATCTGATATTTTTTATGGTTGGCTTCTAGGGGTTGACAAGAAAAAGAGTAAACTGATACTTGTTGGAGCCTCTATTTTATGTTGGGCTTTATGGTTGAGCAGGAATGGTAGGGTTTTTGATAAATCACCATATGTTTACTATATGCATGCAATTTTCAGGGCATTATATTAGCTCCGATAGTGGACACAATTACAAAAGTGTGATGATGATGGGAAGTTCCTGATTGTTGCACGTCGTAAGCTTGAAACGATGATTATGCAAACTTTTTACCAATTATAGATGGAGATTCACCAATATAGAATAATGTTTTCCTTGTCCTGTTTGGTTTTCTTCTATTTTGGTTTGGTGTGTTTCGTTTTATTTTAGCCTACACTCTTTTAAAGTGCTAGATTATAATAATTGGTTATAACTCAATCTAAAGACCAGTATGTTTTATTTCATTATCTAATAATCAACTGTGGAGCAAACAATAGATACTCCACACACGACACGATGCATTGGATTGGAATGTCCTCGTGTATCCATATACTCCGTACACGATGCATTGGATGGGATCAGCATTCAGCATAATTTTGTTACGGTGGGTCCCGTCCCATTGACCTTGCGACCGAGCTCGCGTGCATCTCGGTCGGCCGGTCGGTCGGTCGGTCGGTCAGGTCGGACCGATCGAGCTGGATCCAGCCCAGCGAACGAACGAACGAACAGGTGACTGAGGTGAGCGACTGGTTGACGCAGCCGGCCAGTCGTACGCACCACCGCACGTACGCGCCGCTGATTGCGACGCGCCACGACTTTTACACTATTCATATATAAAGTTTAACCATTCGTCTTGTTTAAAAATTTTTTACGGTTAATATTTTTATTATTATTAGATGATAAAACATGAATAGTACTTTATGTGCGACTAACTTTTTTTTTAATTTTCTCATAAATTTTTTAAATAAAACGGACGGTCAAACGTTGGACACGGATTTTCGCAACTACACTTATTTTGAGACAGAGATAGTACTACATACTCCCTCCATCCCAAAATGTTTAACACCGTTGACTTTTTCAAACATGTTTTACCATTCGTCTTATTTAAAAAATTTAAGCAATTATTAATTCTTTTTCTATCATTTGTTTCATTGTTACATATATATACTTTTATGTATACGTATAGTTTTACATATTTCACAAAAGTTTTTGAATAAGACGAACGGTAAAACATATTTAAAAAAGTTAACGGCGTCAGACATTTAGGGAAGGAGGGAGTATATATCTATGGCTGTTTAGATTATGGTGAAAAATTTTGGTGTGTCATGTTAAATATATGGACTTATATTTAAAGTATTAAATATAGACTAATAACAAAACAAATTACAGATTCCACCTCTAAACTGCGAGATGAATTTATCAAGTCTAATTAATTCGTCATTAGCAAATGTTTACAATAGCACCATATTATCAAATCATGAAGCAATTAGGCTTAAAAGATTCATCTCACAATTTACACGCAATATGTGTAATTAGTTATTTTTTTTATTTATATTTAATAATCCATGCATGTGTCCAAACATTTGATGTAATAGAGTGAAAAATTTTGTCAGGGGATCTAAATAGGCCCTATATGCAAAACTAATTTATTTTTTAAGTAAAATTCACACATTACAAATAATTGAGCTAAACTATTGGAAAACTACATTCTTAAGATGATATATTACAAAACTATACATTTAACGATAAATTTATCACAAAACTACAGATTTAAGGCTAAATATCACAGAACTACAAATTTAATAAAAAAATTATCACAAAACTATATATTTTGGGTTTCTCTAATATTATGCTTTGAGTTATAATGGTTGAAATTTTATGATTAAATTGATCTAAAACTTGTAATTTGTGATAGTTATGTGATAAATTACTTTAAATATGTAATTTTATAATATATTATATTGAATCTATAGTTCTGTGATAGTTTGACTAAAGTACATGTAGTTTTATAAAATTTACACTTATTCTTCTCGACCAGTTATCAATATATTTTTGAAATTGGATGTAAAATAATACGTTTAATTGGAAAATCACAAGATAATCCCAAGCTTTTAGAAATGCAGGAGCAGAATGTTTCTCACTGATTTTCTTAGCGAAAAATAGTCTCCAAGGAAAAACATTAAAAGTCGCGGAAGAAGAGAGGAGGAAGCGGCGAGCGTGGACCGGGCCCCCGCCGCCCTGCACGTGGTTGACCGCCCACCGAGGTGGGCCCACCCGGGCCGCCGCCGCGCAGCCCGTTTCCACTCGCCTTCCTCGATTCCCCCGCCTCCCGCGGCACCCGCCACCGCCTGCCACGTGTCCCGATCGAGTCCTCGTCTCCTCTCGCCTCGTTTTGTCGCAGAGCGGAGCGCGTCAACCAGCTTGTGTCAGTAGCCTACTTTCGCAGACTTGTCTTCAGTAAAAAATGTATACGGATGGGCCCACATGTCAGCGTCTCTCCTCGTTGAATTTCAGTTCACTCTTGATACTTCACCTCAAGTGAGACAGTGAAGTGTACAGAAAGTTTGGGGAGTTTGTCTGATTTCGTTGAATTGTTCGGGACCGAAGCAAATTTGGGATTAATTTTGCTCAAAAGGACTGCACTACGTACACTTCAAATAATTTTCCTCCCTACTCTACATGTTACAAGCGTCTTTTGCCGACGCAAATATCTGAATTTTTTTCTGAATCGTCTTGCTCACGTCCGGCCGCCGCCGATGATCGTTGGTTGATCAGCCATGGGCGCCGGCCGAAAATGTTGCTCGTCGATCTATCCCTCGAGTAATCGTGTAAAAATTCTAGGTTATATACAGCGAATCATCAATTCCTCCCTAGCCGATCAATCGATCGATCGAACTCCGCCATGGATGGACACCGCGTCGATCGTGTTCTTGCTGGCGCCACCAAGAACAGAGAGGCAGAGACAGGAGAGGATGGCAATGGCCATGCCCGCAGTTGCAAGAAGAAGCGATCGAATCCGCCGCGTCGATCAGTAGCAATCGTCAATCCTTGGTCGGCGAGAGCTCGAGGATGCGGCCGGAGAGGGCGGTGACGAGCGCCGCCTTGAAGCTTGGGTCACGCGTCAGCGTCATCGCCATCTGCTCGGCCAGGTTCCGCCTGATCATCTCCGACGCCGCCGCGGCCTGCTGCTCGCCGTTGACGACGACCGGTTCGTGCTGACGGTGCGGCACCACCGGCGCCGGCGGCGCCGCCGCCGGCGCATGGGGTGGCTTCCCGGCGCTCTTGCCGGAGCCGTCGCTGTTCTGCGCCGCCGACTGCAGCGGCGGCGGCGGCTGGCCGTGGTTGTGCTCCCCCTCGTACGTCGCCACGAGGATCGTGTTGTCCTCCGCGCTTCTCTGAACCTGAAACAACATTTGAACCACGAACAAAGTTCAGAAACAGGCTCGAATTTGCACTAAATTTAGCAAAACTTACGAAATCACTTTGGAATTAGTTAGAGGAATTTAAGTTACCTTCTTCTTGACAGGGCAGGCGGGAGCAAATGAGCATCTGAAGTAGGCTCTTGGGCAGGGGTTGTCCTTGGTGACCTTCTGACCATACTTCCTCCATTGGTACCCATCTTTCACCACCTGCATGGATTCATTGCAAGAACAGGATTAATTAATTAATCAAGGCTAGAATTCAGAACAAAAAGAAGTTAAGTTAGGCACATGAAATGAGATGATCGGATGTTAATTGGGGTTGGGGATTCGTACCAGGCTGAGGTCGGATGGGTCGGCGTGGACGTAGAGCTTGGAGATCTTGGGCTTGCACTCCTCGCGGATGCGCTTGCAGGGCTCGCCGGAGGTGCACTCGGTCTGGTCGGCGTAGCCGGCGGCGGCGGCGCCGGGCATGACGTGCATGTGGTGCGGCGCCGCGTGTGGGTGCGGCGGCGGCGGCGGCGGCGGGGAGTCGTCGAGGCTCTCGCTCTTGCGCTTCCTCGACGGCGAGACGGAGCCGCCCTCGGAGGTGGACGACGGGTTGTTGCCGCCGCCGCCGCCGTTGTTGGCGCTGGCGGTGACCATGTCGCTGAACTGGCTCTGCAGCGCCTCGTACTTGGCCGCCACCGCCGCCAGCATCTCGCTCAGCTGCCGGTTCTCCGCGCCCATCCGCTTCAGCTCCGCCTCCAGCGCCGCAACCTTCACAACAAAAAAAACCCCAAATCAGCTCAAGAAATTAAGCTCATCACGCTCCCAGCCATGGCGGCCGTCGATCGTCCGTGCACGTATGCTTAATCACATGACCTACCTCTGGGTCTTTCTTGAGAGGCTGCTGGTGAAAGAAGTCCTCCTCGACGAGCACCTTGGGCTTAACCATGGCGACGGCCGCCGTCGCCGGCAGCCCGACGCGGAGGTCCAGGCTCAGCGAAGGCTGGGTGCTAATCCACGGATCCATCGGCGAACGATTTATCACTGATCCGACGACCTAGTTAGCTAGCTCGATCGAGCAAACTTTTCTGCTGCTCCGACGATGTCAAGCTGAGCCAAGGAGAGAAGAGAGGAGAGGAGGAGACGAGGTGAGAGGAGGAGCTGAGCCCTAATATATATAGAGAGGCGGGAATATGGCGAGGATGGTCTAGTCATGGGAGGAGGGAGGAAGAGGAAGAAGAAGGCGCGCGCGGGGATGTCGCGCTCAAACGCATGTGTACTCGTCGTCGTCGTCGTCTGGGGTCACGCAGGATTAGGAAGCGGAGGGGAAGGGAAATGAGTAAAGAAATGGAGGGAGGGGGAATTCGAGCATGCGGATGTGGCGGAAGAATCGGAAGGAGACTGGAGGGTGACCGGAACAGCTAGCGGCGCCAACTGAATTATTATTTTTTAAAACAAAAATAAAAACCACATCCCTCTAGTTCTTGTGTTTGTCATCTCGTCATTTCATAATACTCGTTTTAAAATATTACTAGGGTTTTTGAGTGGATAAGACGTTTTATAATTTAACAAAAGATGGTTATGATTATTTGAAATAAAATATATAGAGATAAATTAAATAAAACATTGTTATAATTGTTTGATATGACATAGCACAAGAAGAAATAGCTATATTTTAGATAAAGAGCCTGTTTGGCACAGCTCCAGCTCAACCAAACAATTTCAGCTCCACCTAAAATAGAAATAGAGTTGGGTGGAGCTCTCTCACAAAATAAAATTAAGAGTTGGAACTAGGTTTAGGTTGCTTCACAATTCTAATTTAGACTTAATTACTTCTGAAGCTAAATTTAGGAGTTGAAACTCTACCAAATAGTCCAAAGTATAAATATTAGAAATCTCTATATTTTAGAGAAAGGTATGGTTTATCTTGTCAAAATAGAAATGATTAATTAATTAGGGGATGTAATAACGAGTGGGTGGGAGACTAGTCAGGATGTCGGCCAGCAGCATGATGCATGGTCTTTGGGCTGGATAGTGGGGCAGGGTCCAAAGTCAAGAAAATACACCACACATGCCTGCTATTAATAAAGATCCCTATCTGCATGCCTTGCAATTGGCAAAGAAGAAGTTGGAGGAAGAAGGGGACATGCAAGACTTCTTGACCCCCTACTACTAAATACTCCCCCGTTTCAAAATATTTAACACCATTGATTTTTTAGCATATGTTTGACCATTTGTCTTATTTAAAAACTTCTGTAAAATATGTAAAGTTATATGCCTATATAAAAATATATTTAACAATGAATCAAATGATAGGAAAAGAATTAATAATTATTTAAATTTTTTGAATAAGACGAACGGTTAAACATGTGCTAAAAAGTCAACGGCGTCAAATATTTCAAAACGGAAGGAGTACCACCTTTTGGACCCTTGCTTGTCAGTGAGCATGCACTTGCCAATAATAACTTAGCTGGATCAGTGTCTAACCTCTTAATTCTTCCCCTTTTCAACTCTACTAGAAACTCATTTTCTTGGCTTTATGTGTTTTATTAGAAAAACACTCTCTCCATACACGAATATAAACATTTTCAGGTTTTAAATTTTGTTTGCAAATACAATAGCTACATTTATTATTCACTGGTAGTTAAATCATTAGGCGTGATTTTTCTAATCAAGTAAATTATCTGAGGCATCAATTAATTTCCACTTAACCTTAAATTTTGCTAAAATAACCTAAAATCTCACATATTTGTGGATGGTGTACTCCCTCTGTCCCAAAATAAGCAATGTAGGAAGGGATGTGACCCTCCTACTACCACGAATCTAGACAGAGGTTTGTCCAGATTCGCTCCTAGGTTGCTTTTTTTTTTTTTTTGACTCCCGTTCCGATTTCATTTCCCCCCTATGCTTAATTCCTAGTGCAACTGGGCAAAGTAGCTATAGTACTAGAGTATCTTGTAGAGCAGGGTAGGTGTGATGCACATAGTTAGTACAGTACTATGTTTTCTTGGTGTCTTTCCTGGTTTGGTGAGCTCCAAACTTGAGGGGCCCTAGATTAACCTCTTAAATTAAATCAAATCAAACATCCGGAAAGAGCTTTTTGTACTATACAATAGCTTAGGTTTTTGCCAAATTTTGACTAGAAATACTTTTGGGGAAGACTACTCTCGCCGCACGAGTCAATACTGCATCCAAAATAAAAAGTTTGTTTATGACAACTAATAGCATGATTAATCCACTGTTATTGACCGGCGGGCGCCGTTGGGTCGTTTACTAAGCTTAATTATGCAAATGATCCCAAATTTTCCAGTTCTTGTACTACTCCAATGTAGGGTTATTAGGATTGGAACGTCTGGTGTTGACAAATCTACAATTCAGATGTATCAGAGACTTTTCTTTTCGTGATGAAGAAAAACGGAAATGACTCTGTAATTGTTACTGAAAGATATGCAAGATTACTGCAGAAGTTGCAGAAGAGACTTGTCATTGACAGGAACAAAGAAAGAACGGGTTATAAAGTGTACTTGGCTTGAGCCACGCACAACACAAGACTTGGACCAAGTGGTTTGGTTGGTTGCCAAGAACGAGTTGGCTATGTTCTCTGGCACACACACAGCAACGGGCAATTCAAGCAACCACATGACTTGAGGTCATTGTGCTGCAACTAGCTACTGTCGACTTGCAATTTTGCAATTTGTCCTCTCCTGTTTGCTGGACGAATTGATGGTGTTAATTTCTTTTTCTGAGAATAGTTTGGTTGACAACTTGACAAAGGTATGTGTGAAAAAAAAAACAAAATAACCTCACTGTTGGGCAGATAACAGTAACACTTATTGGGTTTGCTTTTCAAGATTTTTTTTTTTGACTTGTGGCTTATAACTTATAAGCGGATGACAAATTATCATTAAAAACAATTATTTTTAAAGCAAGAGATTTGCACTTGTATTATTAGCGGTCTAAAATCCAAAATCCAAGACCGTAGACCGGGTAACAAAAATAATTATAAAATTAAAAATTAACTACGCCGGAGTTCAAACAAGTAGTAACACTGTAACACGCAACTGAAATTCTATATCGTGTACCAGCTAGTATTTTTACTATTGTGTTAATACGGATTATTTGAATGTCGTCTGGCTGAAACCAAAACGGGACATCTGGTCTTTCAGCTAGGTTCGTTTAAATCTTCCTTGCTGTACACCATATTTCTATTTCTGTTCGTATCAGAATCAGCTCAAATTGGCCAGGCTGTGGTGGAACCTCTTCACCGAGGTTCGATTCGATCCGACTCACCACGAATCTCGCATTTTCAGTGTATTATGCAGTTATGCTTTAGGCAGATGATATATACATGAACAAGGGTACATCTTTATCAATAATAAGATATACTAATTCAGTTCTAAGAGCTGCTTAGAAAAATAAGATATGCTTATAAAAAACGAGTGTGTCCGCTCCTGGTGTGCAATATTAATCAGTGTACACGGTTCTAAATAGGCAACGGCTACACTCTCCATTCTAAAAAGAGCCAACTTTTAAGTATGAATTGTTTGTCCAAATTTATTTATAAAAATTAGCTTTTCTTTTTATGGTTGGATTAGACGTTAAGATACAGATTTATCTTAATTTTTGTTAGTAAATGGTACATTTTCTGTAAAAAAAAACTTTTACATAAAAGTGGTTTTAAAACATCATATACATACTTTTTAAGTTTAAAATAACTTTAAAACCTTAATTAACTATGTATTAATAATCTTTTTACGTTTTTTAATTTAATTTACTACCTCCGTTCTAAAATGTAAGTATTTTTAATTATGAATCTGGCCGGAGGTAGTAGTGAACTCAAACGGGACCTTAGTCAGCGACAATATTCAACCAAACTAATATACTACGGAGTTATCCACAGAGAGTGAAACCGATGGAGATCGAGGCAGGCAGGCAGGTGTCTTTGTCGGAGCACAGTATTCGCCCACATGTGAACTCGGTGCGCCGAAACTGCAATTCCGGCTCGTGACACCGACCGGACGCTGCTCCGTCACCGCGGTTTGACCCCCACCATGCGGCCCTTTGTCTCCGATCGAGAAAACCCCAAGGTTCATCGCGACGAAAAAAACGTTGCGACTTACCGACTCTGCACGCTGCGAATCCGTGACCATATATGCCACTGCCTCCCGGCGGCGAGAAAGGTATCCGGTAATATTTGACATTATTTGCTTCTTCCATTCTACAGTATTCCATCTATTAATTTCATTTTATAAGTCACTATAAAAAATGCCCGTACGTTACAACGGGTGAAGGTTATGTTATTATCGTTACACGGTTTAGTTAATGTAAAATTCACTGTAGAAATTTACTTACATATATTTTTCTAGAAAATCATGAGCTGCAATTAGAAGCCCGATCATCTCAAGTTAGCATGTAAATTTTTTATTTAGATTTCTTATACGACTCCTCCTATATTTTCAAAAAGAACAAACTTAAAACCCGACTCAAATATGGATCTGTATTTTCAAAAGCGAACGAACTTAAAAACCGACTCATACACAGATGATGTACCAGAGTACCCGTAAAAACATCTTTAATTTTTGTAATAGTTGAGATTTAACATTTTTCTAGTTAAACTTATTTGAATTTGATTAAATTTATAAAAAAGATATAGTAGTATTTTCAACACAAAACAAACATATTATAAAATTATATTCAATGTTATATTTAATGATACTAATTTTATATTTTAGATGTTGTTAATTTTTTTTAAACTTGATTAAACTTAACAAAGTTTGACTAGAAAAAAGAATTAAATGCCTTATAATATAAATGGAGAGGGTACTTCTTAAATATAAATCCTTTTCCCCTTAGATAGCTAGCCAGATATTCTTATACTTAGGCCATGTTCGTAACAATGTTTTGTCCAGCCTTAACAACTGCCTACGAAATAAGATGGATTATTAGTTTATGATTAATTAACTATTATAAATTTTTAAAATAAATTTATTTAACTTTTTAAAAAAAACTTATACATATATATAAAGTTTTTCATGAAACACGTCGTTAGCAGTTTAGAAAGCGCGCCCATAATAAACCTCTAAATGAAAAGAAATAGGCCTTATCGATGAAGAAAGAATTTCTATTTAATTGTAATTTTAAATATGA